TCCAGTTAAAATTCATATTTCTATCTCCGTTTTCTTTTCTCTCTTAAGGATTCCTGATTTTATTCTCCAGCTCGGAAATGCCGAGCACTTTGATTTCCCATGAGATGCTTTTGGAAACTACTTTAATATCCAGATTTTATGATCTGTAATTTTCTAGGTTCATAAGAAAAACAAAGGACTATTCCTAACATGTTTTCAAATTCCTTGAGGGGGTGGGGAATAAAAGGTAGGGGGGTAGCAGGGAGGCGATTAACCACAGGCTCTAGGTAGAATACCCTGAAAAAATACAAATAAGCTTGAGTAGAATAAATCTGTGCTATTTCCAGGCACTATGAAAATTTGGGTCTTTGTACAAACACAGAATAAGATTTTTAAAATGTGCACCCTTAAGTAAATAGAAATACACTTCACCCACAAAGCCCTCTGTGTTCCAAGGTCAAGTTTAAAAATATTATAAAGTCTTCAGAATAAGTGCTGAAAAGCCAAGCAATTGAACAACATGAACCTGTTATATAGATTCGTTTCTTTTGCTGAGGCAGAGGGAGGGGAGAAAAAAAGAATTTCAAAAGAAATCTGCAAACCTGTTGCGCTGTCGGGCCCACTGGAATCCACGGGGGTGAAACAAATTCAATTATGCTTTTACAGATCCTGCTCAAAAAGGGTTTCAACTGCTTAACCAAGTACAGCTCATTCTTCCACCTTCTTACTCTGCAACCAAACAAAGTGCCCCATACTACAGGTAGGTGCCGAGAAATTCCGCAGCCTGAAAAAATAATCCATGCAGGTCAAAGGCAGAAATTTACTCCAGGATGAGAGATGCTGTCCCCAAGAACTAGATTAAACACTTACAGAAAATCCAAAATCATTTCTGAAACCTCCTTTCTAATAAAAGTTCTTTTTTTCTCCAAACAGCATATAAAATGACCAAGTCTTGAAAGAGAAAAGGAGCAAAGTAGCAAATACACCAACAATTCACTATCAGAAACACAGAAAATCCCAGAGAGAGAAGGCAGTATCTCTGAATCATGGATGGACTTGGAAAGTTCGGAAGGATTCGAGTGCTTCCTTTCAGAAAGACAATTCTGGATCAACTCCCTAGAGCAGGAAGCCTGTGGTTTGTAATTGGTGTTCTAGCTCTGACTCCCTCCCCTGGGACAGCAATCACGCTCTCTACCTGCTGACAAAGTGAGGGTGGAGCTGCTAGAGGCAACCACCCCCCACCCTGCCCCCCTCCTCCTGGTGCGCACACACAACACTTACTTAATCAGACACGTTCTTTTGCTCTCTCCCCTCCCTCAGCTCCTCTACTCCCTCTATTGAGCCACAGCTAAACTGCATCCAATTTGATCCCCAGTACCTCTCTCTGGGTACGCAAGCTACCACATGCAAATCAGGGCCACTCAAACATATCTAAGCAGACTCTGCACCCAACAGAGCATAGATGATGGTATGAGGAAATAAACAGAAAAAATAAAGGTAATCCAGAAAAGAATGGACACAAGGTTTTGCAAATATAAATTCAAAAGGATTTCTGCTCATTCCAAGTTTGAGTGTCTATAAATGGCAGAAAGCCAGAATAAAGTGATCCTGTGCTTTAGTACTTACTGATTTACTGCTACTTATGTCTGCTACCCTGGGAAGGGCTCTGTCCATTTTATGCTTAGCTTTTCTTCAGCTCTTCCTAATTTAAATTCAGTAGCTCTGTCTAAACTGTGCCTATATGGAACTTTCAAATCAGGGTCATATCAGAGGTCTGGAATCCAACTGTTATTTTCTTTTCAATCTTTGAGAGGTGAAATAATACTATGGATCAGACCTATGCCTTCAATGTAAGACTCCAAATAAGTCCATGTCATAAATACAAGCAAAAGGGTAAAATATGATTAATGAGAAAAGCATAGGCAAAAAGAAAATGAATTCCTGGCTAATTACCACATTCATGAACTACAATCCTTATTACTACCTTGCCATTAGAAATAATACAACAGTTTCTAATACATTTATAACATTTGACGTTTCAAATTACCAGATTATATTTGACGTGGTGAGACATTTTATTTCTGAACTGCTGCCATAAACTTTCAAAATTATACAAATGAACAACAATGTGGATATAGTTAAGTCTAGTGAACTGTACACTTAAAAATGGTTATGGTAGTAAATTTTATGTGTTTCTTACCTCATGTACAAATGAATCTCTGATCATCTGTAAAATGCCAATGATAATAATTACGATAGGTCTGTTGTAAAGATTAAATGACATAATGCCTCTGAAAGCAAAAAGGATGAGTAGTCTACTGACCTTCAACATTGTTTCCCCTGTAGATAAGGTTTATGAGAGTAGTTTCAGAATTTCAGACCTAATAACTAACCTAGATCAAAGACAAATTTGAAAATAATTTTTTTGTTTATTTTTGTTGTTTGAAACAGGGTCTTATGTCACCCACGCTGGAGCACAGTTGTGCCATCATGGCTCACTGCAGCCTTGACCTTCATGGCCTCCCACCTCAGCCTCTAGAGTAGCTGGGACCACAGGTGCGTGCCACCACACCCTGCAAACTTTTTCTTTTCTTTTTTTTTTTTTTTTTTTTTGAGACAGAGTCTTGCTATTTTGCCCAGGCTGGAGTGCAGTGGCGCTATCTTGGCTCACTGCAAGCTCCGCCTCCCGGGTTCACACCATTCTCCTGCCTCAGCCTCCCAAGTAGCTGGGATTGCAGGCGCCTGTCACCACGCCCAGCTGATTTTTTGTATTTTTAGTGGAGATGGTGTTTCACCGTGTTAGCCAGGATGGTCTCGATCTCCTGACCTTGTGATCCACTCACCTCAGCCTCCCAAAGTGCTGGGATTACAGGCGTGAGCCACCGTGCCCAGCCAACACCCTGCAAATTTTAAGAAAAAATTTTTTGTTGGGCCAGGAATGGTGACTCGCGCCTATAATCCCAGCACTTTGGGAGGCCGAGTTTGGGGATCACCTGAGGTCGGGAATTTGAGACCAGCCTGACCAACATGGAGAAACCCGAAAAATGAAAAAAAAAATTAGCCTGGCATGGTGGTGCATGCCTGTAATTCCAGTTACTTGGGAAGCTGAGGCAGGAGAATTGCTTGAACCTGGGAAGTAGAGGTTGCGGTGAGCTGAGATTGTGCCATTGCACTCCAGCCTGGGCAACAAGAGCGAAACTCCACCTCAAATAAATAAATAAATAAATAAATAAATAAATTAAATTAAATTAAATAAAACAAACGTTTTTGTAGGGATGGAGTCTCCCTATGTTGCCCAAGTCGAACTTGAACTACAGGGCCCTAGCAATCCTCCCATCTAGGCCTCCTAAAGTGCTGGGATTACAGGCATGACCCACCATGCCAGGCCTAAAATAAATTCTTAATGTAGCACTTTTTCTGTCTTGTTTGGACTTTAAGAATATAATGCAGGTACAGCTGGCTGGGCATGGTGGCTCACGCCTGTAATCCCAGTACTTTGGGAGGCCGAGGCGGGTGAATCACTAGAGAGTTCGAGACCAGCCTGGCCAACATGACGAAACCCCATCTCTGCTAAAAATACAAAAAATTAGCCGGGCGTCAGTGGCATGCACCTATAATCCCAGCTACTTGGGATGCTGAGGTGGGAGATTCTCTTGAACCTGGGAGGTGGAGGTTGCAATGAGCTGAGATGGTGCCACTGCACTCCAGTCTGGGCGACAGAGCAAGACTTTGCCTCAAAAAAAAAAAAAAAAAAAAAAAAAAAAAAAAAGGAAGAGAATGCAGGTACTACAGTAATCCCTTGGTATCCATGGAAGACTGGTTCTAGTACCCACTGAGTACCAAAATCCAAGGATGCTCATGGCCTTTATTAAAATGGCTTAGTATTTGCATGTTACCTATGCACATCCTCCTGTATACTTTAAATCATCTCTGGATTACTTGTAATACCTAAAACAATGCTTATACATTCCTTAATTCTCACGGATTTAAAGTGTATGGCCTGTGGCATATTCAAGTTTTGCTTTTCGGAACTTTTGGAATCTTTTTTCCCAAACTTTTTCAATCTGAGGTTAACTGAAACCATGGATGTGGAACCCACTGATATGGAAGGCCAACTATATAGACCCTTTGTAGCTCCTTTCCTAAAAGATAGGAAGAGTTCTAATTCTGCTGGAGATAATTTTTTGAAATCTGTCATGGTTTATGATTTTATTCTGTGTATGCCATGTAATTGTATAGCATAAATAATGCAACATATACATTGTTATACATGATATATGCAAAAATACCTTTAAAGTTAAACTAAACCAAAAAAATAACCTACAAATGGGCTTTGCCTCATCTATTCCTGCTTAAAATGTGCAAAGGAATGAAGAGACCTAGCCCTAGTAATTAATACACACACTTAATTGACAGAAAGAAGACAGATACAAATGTGGTTGCCCTCTCTTGAGGAAACTCTGAGATTTGGAAATGATGATGATATGCATCATGAACCTGGAGACCTGGAGAAACTCAGAATCAAACCAAACAGTTCTATGTAGTTTAGTTCACTGTTTTAGGTCACCAGAATTGCAAGAGCAATTATTCTTCAGCTTCAAAGTTTTGGAGTTACCCTCTGGGTTTGATATACTACAACATTTTCCTAGACATGTCATAAAGATGCCATCACTATTGTAATGAAATGCCTAAGTCTCAATGACATCTACTAGCTAATCTTATACATGAGACAGATCATCCTTCACGGTCTACTTTCACCTCTGGATTGATTAAATTTATTAAACATCATTCATCCTTTTCCAAAAATGTAGGTTTCTGTAAAACATGTCTAAGAATTGTCCTTATCCTTAATGGCATTTAAACAATTCCATTGCTATTTAAATGAAAAAAAAAAAACTTTTAAAATTCAGATTATTTGAAAAACAAAGTACAATCTCATTTGAATTATACTATTAACTGTCATAATGACTGAGTTTTCTATTAATCACCAATCAAACAGTAAGAACAAGCAAGACAACAAGTCTAGTTGGAACACTCACTTTATTGTTGACTGATTGAAATTTATCAGTGCTTAAGGTACTGAAATACTGAGGTACTAGTCAGGAACCTTGTTAGTTGACTAGTTGTGTCAGACCCTACTGGCTAATTCACAGGAAGATTTTATTATACCTCTTGCCATTTTGCCCAAGTCATTAATGACAGCTTTAGTTGATAGATACAAGGCATGTAAGGATAGCAGGAGATCCAGCTCCTTGGTCTGCTGTATTCATATATAAAAATGTTTGGAAAGCTGAATAAGGCATTTCATTAATTAAGCCTTAAAACAACTGAAACCAAATCTATGCCAAGGTTCCTGCTTGACATGTGTTCCTCAAAAGATATTATCTCAACATATATAAAGCTAAGAAAGCCATATTTAGGGGAAAATATCATCTACACGGTATATTAGCTCTTCAACATGACAGAGAAAAAGCAAAGTTCCTTCATTTGGAAATTGGGTCTCCTCTTCACATACTCTGACAAAATATTATATAGTCTGGCCAAAAGATACAGGTGTCTTGATAATTTGCTCTTTTAAACCTTGCTAATGAAGATAAATAAATGCCCATCACATAGACATTATCTAATCTAATCAGATGGACCACATAGGTCGCTTTTCAGAATCTACTTTAATATCTAAACAGAGTCACTGCAGATCAACACAGAGCTCACCCTTTTCCAGAAAAGTAGATCTCTGTAATATTTCTAGGGTTTGACATCATTGGGAAGGCACAGTGCAGTATAAGAAATGAACTGTTACATCCACAGTGGCTAGCATAGTACTATGTCATATCACCAAGTGCCTTTTTAATTAGTTTCATATTCCTAGGCTTTCCTTTTGTTTCTGCAGTGCTTAATAGGAGAACTGAAGCAGAATCCAATAAGAAAGTTCTGGTCAATCGAAAGACTTTAAATCAGAAAGTTTCTTGCTGTCACTGGGTAAGAAAGTAAGGGATCAACCACAGAAACTGGACATCCAAGACATCCTTCTCTCCTAAAACAAAGTCCCACAATCCTACTGCACAAATCTATAATCCTATAACAGGGATAAGAAAAAAATGTTACCCTCTATCCCACTATCCAAAATTCTCTCAGAAGCTTAGATCGAAACCATTTTTTAAAAATCAGAGGCATAGCTTCTGCTAAATGACTACTAATCAGTTTTTCCCCACATTTGCACACAATACCTTATATAGATGAGAATTTATACTTATTGAATGTAAAAATCTAAAATAAGAAAATAGTGTATTAAATCTCTTAATGTTTTTGTTCACACATTGTACATTTTCCCTTCAAAATAAAAATACTACACATGCATCCTTTATCCTTCTATCCTGCAATAATAAAAATATAAAACTTTAAAACCTTTAAATCTATCAGCATTTATAAATACAATTATATAAAGCAAGTTAAATACTTTCTTTAAAGACATTTAAGTAAGTGATATATTAATAAAACCTTTTTACCATTTATGATAATGTATCATTAAAATGAAAGAAAGATATGAAAATAGAAGAATGCTTCCATTAATATAAAAGAATCAGGGAGTGTTAAGTGTGATAGATGGTCCAAGTCCGGATGCCTTGCTCTTAAAACAGAATGCTAGGTTAGGAAGTAAGAGAATTTCCTGGTTAATCACTTAGAAAATTAGCTCTTCTCCAGAGTTTCTTCCCTGGAATTCCTGATGCATTTGGACCTGTGATGTTGGTGACCTCACATGCCTTTGTCTCTCACACGATCTCCTCTAAAAGGATCACACTGTGACTTGAATCTCAGAGATTGAATTCCCCACTAAAGTTGTGCTGACTACAGTTTGAGTGGCAAGACGACAAATCAGCACACACACAGATTATTCTCTAGTACCATAGATGGAGCAGTTTTTAGATGCTCCTTGACTATAACAGAAGGTCAGAACTTTTCATTTAAAAGGGATCTGGGCAGCCAAAAAACATGGCTGCTAGATGTTCACTAGTTTGTCAAGGCAGATAATCTGAACTGAACCGCTGTAGTACATAGCAAATTCCCAATTCTCAATTAACAAAATTCTCAATTAACGAAACAAAAAATACTTTTTTTCCTTAACAGAACTGAAAAAATCCCAACAGTTTGTCACGTGCAAGGCTAGTCTGCCTCCAGCTACAGCTAGTGCACAATGTCACATTTGTCATCCATGCCTCACTCTTTTAATTCTTCCTCCTTTGGAAAGTGCTCCTGCTTGCAGGCCACGTCCACCAGCAGATGAAGATCTAGAAAGAAAGGATTGTTTACTCCCTCTTATCCTCTCTGTAGAGTTCTATAGACAAGTTTTCAGAAAAGCAGAACAAGTTGTCTATGTCTCACCTGTAGAACTGGCTCTAAAATTACATAGTCCCATCGGATTCTCAATTTTGGGGTATTCCTATAACTCTAAAGCATACTGATACAGCCTAGTTGTTAACCCAAAGAGACCAACAAATTTTAGTACCTCTTCTTTTCAGCAGTATGGCCAAGACTCTTTTCATCTCAGTTGCCTTTTTTTTATTTTTTTTGATGGAGTTTTGCTCTTGTTATCTAGGCTGGAGTATGGTGGCACCATCTCGGCTCACTGCAACCTCTGCCTCCTGGGTTCAAGTGATTATCCTGCCTCAGCCTCCCAAGTAGCTAGGATTACAGGCATGCACTACCACGCATGGCTAATTTTTATATTTTTAGTAGAGACAGGGTTTCACCATGTTGGCCAGGCTGGTCTCGAACTCCTGACCTCAGGACCCACCCACCTTGGCCTCCCAAAGTGCTGGGATTACAGGCGTGAGCCATGGTGCCTGGCCTTCAGTTGCCTTTTATTATAAGTGAAAAAGTAAGGAAAAGTGTCAAAGGGATCAAAGTGAATTTTTCCAAAGTTGATTGACTCTGTAAAATTCCCACTTATTGACTAACACAGCAGAATTCTTATAAAAACACCTAGCTCAACTGTCCATAAAAAAGAAAGCATATCCTCACACAGTGGTTCATTAAGAATGAAAGAAGTAAAAATGCAAATTAGGTATTAGGTTCTGTAATACAAAAAAGCTAAGATCATGTGTAGAAGTTGAGCTAAAACGTCTATCAGAGGAACACAGGCAGCAATAAAAGGATCTTAACGTGGCTTCTAGCTTCAACCTAATGAGCTTACAATTTCTACAGCAACATGACCAGGGAGATTTTTTTTTTTTTTTTTTGAGACAGAGTCTCGCACTGTCACCTGGGTTGGAGTGCAGTGGCGCGATCTCAGCTCACAGCAACCTCCACCTCCTGGGTTCAGGCGATTCTCCTGCCTCAGCCTCCCGAGTAGCTGGGATGACAGGTGCACACCACCATACCTCGCTAATTTTTTGTATTTTTAGTAGAGACGGGGTTTCACTATGTTGGTCAGGCTGGTCTCAAACTCCTGATCTCGTGATCTGCCTGCCTTGGCCTCCCAAAGTGCTAGGATTACAGGCGTGAGCCACTGTGCCCAGCCCAGGGAGCATTTTTAGGTTGGTTTTGAAGCTTACAACTTTGCCTTAGCATTTGTGAGTTAAAGTATACAGCACAAACCCTTTATTTCATTCTCAACATACAAAGACTTTTGTCACTACATTTTTGGAACACAGCCTCTACAGGATTGATCCACAGCCCGAGCAGGATAGCTGATTCAAATAAAATGGAATTCTATTACTACTTGGTAGAAAATCTAGAAAGTATTTGAAATAGTACCTAATTTTTGCCATATTTTGTAAAAGATAGACTAGTCACCAGGGGCAGGTGCTTACTCATCTGGTGAACTATAATCTAGCCATATAGAGCAAGTAATTTAGCCACATAAGCATGTTGTGGAAGGAGAGTTTGTCAGTTTATCACTTAAAATGAGTTTCTCATACATCCATGATCATAGTAGTATAATCAGCAGTATTTTTCACAATAGGCAAAAGGGAGAAGAAATCAACAGATGAATGGATAAACAAAGTGTGGTATACACATATAATGGAATGTTATTTAGCCTTAAAAAGGAATAAAGCGGGGCTAGGAGTGGTGGCTCACGCCTGTAATCCCAGCACTTGGGAGGCCGAGGTGGGCAGATCACAAGGTCAGGAGATTGAGACCATCCTGGCTAACACAGTGAACTCCCGTCTCTACTAAAAATACAAAAAATTAGCCAGGTATGGTGGCACGTGCCTGTAGTCCCAGCCACCCAGGAGGCTGAGGCAGGAGAATCGCTTGAACCTGGGAGGTGGAGGTTGCAGTGAGCCGAGATGGCGCCACTGCACTCCAGCCTGGGCGACAGAGTGAGACTCCATCTCAAAAAAAAAAAAAAAAAAAAGAGGAAGAAAGCCAGGAGTGGTGGCACATGCCTGTAGCTCCAGCTACTCACTCAGAAGGCTGAGGCAGGAGGATTGCTTGAACCCGGGAATTCGAGGCTGCAGTGAGCTATGATGGCACCACTGCACTCCAGTGTGGATGACAGAGCAAAACTCTGTCTCAAAAAAACAAACAAACAAACAAACAAACAAGGAAGAAATTCTAGCACATGCTACAACAATAGGTATTAGGATAAATGAAATAAACTAATCTCAAAAAGACAAAATACTATATGATTCCAGGTATATGAGGTAGCTGGAATAGTCAAATTCAGAGACAAAAAACAGAATGGTAGGTGCCAGGGGCTGTTGTTTAATAGGTGTGGAGTTTCAGTTTGGGAAGATGAAAGGAGTTCTGTAGATGAATGGTAGTGATGGTTGCACAAATGTGAATGTATTTCATGCCACTGGACTGTACACTTAAAAATGGTTACAATGAGGCCAGGTGCAGTGGCTCACGCCTGTAATCCCAGCATTTTGGGAGGCCGAGGCAGATGGATCACCTGAGGTCAGGAGTTCAAGACCAGCCTGACCAACATGGTGAAACCCTGTCTCTACTAAAAATACAAAATTAGCTGGGTGTAGTGGCACATGCCTGTAATCCCAGCTACTCAGGAGGCTGAGGCAGGAGAATTGAAGAATCGCTTGAATCTGGGAGGTGGAGGTTGCAGTGAGACGAGACTGCACCATTAGACTCCAGCCTGGGCAACAAGAGTGAAACTCCACCCCCCAAACAAAAAGTTACAATGAGCCAGGTATGGTGATGCACACCTCTAGTCCTAGCTACTTGGGAGGCTGAAGCAGGAGATTTACTTGAGCACAGGAATTTGAGACTGCAGTGTGCTACGATTGCATCTGTGAATAGCCACTGCACTCCAGCCTGGGCAACATAGTAAGATCCCATCTCAAAAAAAAAAAAAAGGTTAAAATGGTAACTTTTATGTTATGCACATTTTACCACAAAATGGCTTCTCTGAAGTTTAAATAATAACAATAATAATGATAACAGTAATACATTTACATAACATCTCTTTTTCAGGTAGCTAAATGCATTGTGTTAAGGTCATCTAATTAATCCTGGGTAGTGAGTAGATAACTAGGAGGAAGAGCCTCTAAGCCATTTGGCCAATTAGTAAAGCCAATGGTTTCCAAACCTTGCTGCATATTGGAATTACCTGGGACTTTTTTAAAAATACTGATGCTTGGGCCCCCCCCCCCACCCTCAGACATTTTAATTTAATTGGTGTGGAATGCAACCCAGGCATCAGGATTTTTGAAAGCTGACCAAAAAGAATAACACCTAACTATGATCATTTTCTAAACCTATAGAGACATACTAGCTCCCTAAAGGACAGGCCATATGATGGTAGAAAACACTAAAATAAGATTTGGAATATGAATAGACCCAGTTGTAACCCTACTTTGAAAGCAGAGTAGGAATTGTTGATAAGGACAAAGGAAATGACTGTTAAAGCAACTACAGATCTCAAATGGGGAGGCAGACTGAAGAACAGTAGCAACAAACCCACTGAATTTTAATGATTGGGCATTAAAATATCGTTTGGCACACAGCTTCTAATAACAAGCATCTAAACATAATTTTATTAAAGCAAGCTTCCTTCATTAACAAAGTTGCCAATCAAGGAGCTAAGGAGTACAGAAATCAATAAAAATACAAAAAGACATAGACTAGCCTGGTGTTGCTAGAGGTTTATAAGACTTCACTCAAAAGATAAACTTGCATACTGATCAGAGAAGATAAATATTTGGGAATCACAGGCTTGAGAGGTGAAAGGCCCCAAGAGACAAGAGCATTGCATCTACTTGTTTGGGAATGATCATTCCTACCAAGAGCATCCTCTAGGGTTTTGGGGCTATTACCTTAATGAAATCTCATCTATAATCCAATAGCTGTAAAATGGGAAGTTTTTTCTTCAGGAATGAAGTGAACTTTACTCTTAAACTTTCAGTTTCCTTTGACTGTAAAACTAAACATACTATCAGAATATAAGAGCATAGTTTCCACAATAAGATTAATATTTGGGTACATGTGGTTTAGGGTAATACCCATTGTAGAAATCAGAAGAACATGATTCAGTCTAATATTCTTTACCTCTTGGTATTTTTTATTTAAAAGGTATTTCCTTAAGTCAGCATGTACTCAAAAGACCTACACAAAGCATGCCAGTGGCTGGAATGAACAACCTCCTCCTAACAAAATACACATCACTGAAATCACTACAGTTTGGACACCTAATCAATTCGAAGTCTATTATTAAAAAAAAAATGTTCATGTACCCTACAACTTGAAGTTTAATAATAATAAATAAATTAAAAAAAAAAAAAAAATGTTGGCCAGGTGCGGTGGCTCACGCCTATAATCCTAGCACTTTGGGAGGCTGAGGTGGGTGAACTGCTTGCATCCAGGAGTTTGAGATCAGCCTAGGCAACATGGTGAAACCCTGTCTCTACAAAATAAATAAATAAATAAATAAATAAATAAATAAATAAGCCAAGTGTGGTGGCATGTGCCTATAGTCCCTGCTACTCAGGAGGCTGAGGAGGGAGGATAGCTTGAGCCCAGGCAGTCAGGGCTGCAATGAGCTGATCACACGACTGCACTCAGACTAGGCAACAGAGTGAGATACTATCTCAAAATAAAGTAAAATTTAAAAAAAAAGGTCAAATAAAGCTTCAAGTGTGAGATGTCCCTTCTTACACAGGTTAAAGAAAATTTTAATTTAGTTTTTAAATTTTTATAATTTAGTTACAGAAGGGCACTGATAAGTTCTGGAATGTAAGATGTCCCTGTTCAATGTGATATTGAGCAACATAATGATATTCTAATAGTTAATGTTAGAATTACAGTATTTCAGAATTTGGGGCCAAAG